AAAAACACAACCACCAAAATTATTTTTGAAATAGTCAAGAGCAGTCCCAAACACGTGTAGACCTACACTAAAAGAGGGGGGAAATGTAAAACTGATCCTTGCCACAACTCTTAATCATTTATAGACTGGCAGACTGCAAGGGGGATATACAGTGAGTAAGGTCCTTGGTAGACTTTCAACTAAACCGATTGTCAGACCGATCTGGTGACAGACCGTCAACTGAACCAGAAACGTGGCGGTGAACTGGTGACCGGTACCAAATAATAATAATAATAATAATAATAATAATATCTCCCTAGATATCTCCTCAAGGAAATCCACACCCTTGAAAGTGGAGGCCCCATAGTTTTACTATGGGTGAACAAAGAAAAACACCAGTACCTGCTAAGATATTGCGTGTCGTAAAAGGCGACTAAAAGACAAAGGTACATAATTATGTCTGGTCTGCTGAAAAGTGGCACTGTGTGGATGGCCAATACCCGACCCTGCAAAAACTGAATGTTACAGAAACTTGAACAAACATGTCAACAGGGTGAAAGATCGACGGGAAGACCACGTGGAACGTGGAGGAGAGTCCCAGAAATCGATGTACAGAAAAGTGGGAAGACATGGAATAACATCGTGAGGCTTGCCCAGGATAGGGAAAGGTGGAAAGTGTTTGTTCGTGGCCAAGGAGATTAAAAGTAAGTTCTAAACTCCTTGGTTCGTGGCCTATACCCTGACCCAGTGTGAGAAAGGTAATGATGATAATGATGATGATGAATGAAATCTTACTTCTTTTGTGTGCTACGGTAGAGTGTCTAACCAGAGAATTTTACTGTAAACTCTTTGGTCTAACCATTGTCAAACAGACCCAGCTTATTAAGAAGTATAAAAAAACAGCCATTCTCTTCGCACCTATTAATAAATTCAAGGCCACTATGTCAGAAAAATCTGGAAGGAGAAATCGCAACGCTTACGGCGAGATACGCGCCCGTCACGAGCCACCACCGCGCGGTGTGGGAACTGCTGAGAGAGGTGTAAAGTGACGTGGTCCCCGCTTTTAGCGTGAATTTGTCACAGGCGTTGAGAGCTTTAGGGCGCCGGGTCATGTCTATAAATAAATACATTATTCTATGCAATGATGAATAATAGAGCAGAGGGGTTTCCTCTACCGTTACCCGGTTTTGAGTAACCCCTCACCACACTCTCTTTCTTTGTTTTGATCGTTCGTCTTTCTCTTTCTTCGGTATTATGCCACTTCTGTTTTACTAGGTTTAGCTGTTGAGAAGGCGGATTTACTTTAAATCTTAGCAATCATTTGCGTGTGTCTCATTCAGCGTACCAGAAGAAAAATGCCCGAAAAAATGTTCCCCACGCAGGAATCTTTTTTTTTTTGGTCGTACCGGCAAGTGTTTTACGGCGCTCGGATTTTGGATCACAAAGGGATCTTTAACGAGCTCAACTTGCACGCGAGACCTCCTGCATTTTTTCGCCTTTGTCCAAGAGGGGTAGATCTAATTAAATGTTAAAGCTTTTCTATCATAAGATCAAGAGTGTCGCTGAAAAACCTCAGTGAGAAGGAGCCAAAAGAGTACCTGTAGAAAGGCTGCAGAAGGAGTCAGGAACCCTGAGGAGGGGACAAAGGAGGTCACGGGGTGGGGGCAGAAAGTGGAGACGAAAGCAGACGACAGAACAGTGTTAGAGGGCTGGAAATGATGTGAAAGGAGACAATTTTAGAGAAGTAAATTTTCCGTCGTTAGCTTGTTTTTAAAAATTCAGATCAGCAATAATAACCGTAACAACAAGACCTGCAGTGTAGATTTGAAACTGTTAGATTGAAGTGTCAAATTGAGAAAGAAGTAAACTTATTTTTTAAAATAAGAATATTTGGCAACTAGGCTAACACTGGCAAGAGTGGAAGCGTGGATTTATGCTTATGAAGAGAGAGAAAGAGAGGGGGGG